TGAAGTGGGGATGGTTTCTTTTTCCACAGTGCTGACAAGGAGGATGATTTGGTTTCTCATCATCTCCTTTACCACCTTTGTTGGAACTTTCTCCTTGCTCAAAGTTGTTCCCTTGAGCCTCCTTTTTCTTTCCTTTGTAACCATGACTGAGTTTCAGTTTCGCCTGTAAAGCACCTTTAATCACGCCTTCCTCCCTCACGAGTCTCCTCTGTTCTTGGGCTTGCAAAGCATACATCAATTCTGCCAAAGTGATATTTGACAGATCCTTGGAATTTTCCAAAGAGGAAATGGTGGATTCAAACCTCTCAGGAAGAGTCACAAGGATTTTCTGCACTATCCTTGTATCGGAAAATTTTGTCCCAAGCAACCTCACCTTGTTTACAATGCTTAGAAGTCTATCAGAATATTCTTTCACCTTTTTTGACTCCTTCATCCGTTGCATCTCAAACTCCCTGATCAAATTCAGCACATGCATCCCTTTGACTTTCTCATTTCCTTCATACTCTTGTTTGAGAAAATCCCAGATAGCCTTTGCTGACTTTAGAGTCACAATTCTGGTGAAGATTGATTGAGAAACAGCAGAAAATAGACAAGACTTTACCTTTGATTTTCGCTGCTTTCTTTCCTTATGATACTTGATTTGATTAAGTGTTGGATTTTCTACAAGAAAAACGTAAATTTCCGACGGAAAATTTCTGACAGAAATATAAATCCGTATGGCTCATATTCAGACCAAAAAATGCCACGTGTCATGGGTAATAAAAGAGCCCCAAAGGTGTAAAATATTTCAAAACAGTCCCATTTTAGTAATAAATTTCTAATAGTACCCCACAATGGTCATGTAGCCAATTTTGACACATAACAATACATATGACTATGAGTAAAGGAAAATTGTTGAGTGAGAAAGTTTTAGTATTCATAGGTAAGGGCGGTTGGTTCTGAGATCAGGATCAGGGTTATCTTCAAAAGGGTTAGTGCCATTAGTAGCTGCATCTCAGCATGAGATCCTGAGAGTCATTATTTATGTTTGTGGCTATACACATGATTAATTGTCAAGGTTAATTTTACAGTTTTCTAAATTAGGACCCTTGATATGACAGGACCCAAAGGGATATGATAGGTAGAGTACTTAGAATTCTTTGAAGGAACATTGACTACCTCTTGCACATGACTAAACTGCCCTTACAATGAGTTCATTGAAAATTATTAGGTATAAATTGATGCCGATCGATACAGGGGATCTTAACCTGAACCTGTAGTGGTCAGATATTTGTCTAGAAATTAACGGAACATGACAACTGAAACAAGCATATGTAGCCATCAATAAACAGCTACTTTTACGATTCATTGTTACCAATTAATTTGGCTTTATTCGTGATTTTTCAGTTTATGCATGTCTCCTATGTTGTTGTCTTGTATCTTCGCTTCTTCTTAAGATACTCTAATTCAACAGATGGTGACAATGTATTAGTTTCTTAATTACACCAACTGATATGAAGAAAGATAGGGTGCCTTGTGTACACTGGGTTCTTTATCTGATAGTGATAGATATTTACTAGGAGTTGCATGGGTGGCACATGTATGTATGTATATGAGATCTACGGAGAAAATTAAGTGAACTTTTTTTTGGGTGCCAAGGATATTCTCCTATCTAAAATTATGTATTAATTAATGCTTCCGGAAGAACAAGCATTTGAAATTCCTTTGTTGCTGCTAGTTTCAAAGTAAAATTTGATTTAAAGAGAAGAATAAGATAATTAGATTGACAATGACGAGAATGCACCAACTACTAATTAACTTCCACGTAAAAATAACAAGATAGTATGCTTGAAAATATTTTGCTAAAATATATAATCATAAATTTATCACTTGTAAATTACATGGAGACCCTTTTAAATTGATATACTTCTCCCAAATCCCAATTGTGAAATTACATTTTCTTTTTCTGTTATACTATAGGCTAAATAACTTTTGAAGAGATTCGGGGAAGAAAAATCTTATTTGAAAATTTATTTAAGAAGTTAATTTCTTTTTAATAAGTAAACTTCTACTCATAGATTTAGTTACGAGTGATAAATGGATGAGTCAAATAATTTTTTTTAGACACATCATAATAAATTAAATAAAAATTATTCATTAATCCATGTAATTCATTTAAAACAAAAAACTCATTCAATTCATTAATTAACAATTTTTTCATGAATAGATATCTAATCCATCCAAAAAAATAATATTTTAAAAATTGATTAATTTTTTTAAAATATTTTATTTTCTCTTTTTTATATAAGTCATTACATTTTTATATAGTTTTTTTAAAATTTATAAGAATTTTTTTTAATGTAAAAATAGTCTTTTAAAATCTCAATTCAATAAATATCCTTTATTTTTAATTTAATTTATAAATATAATAGATAAATCATTAATCATTTATAAAATTAAATAAATAGATTAACGTTTTTCTTGTAGAAAATCCAACACTTAATCAAATCAAGTATCATAAGGAAAGAAAGCAGCGAAAATCAAAGGTAAAGTCTTGTCTATTTTCTGCTGTTTCTCAATCAATCTTCACCAGAATTGTGACTCTAAAGTCAGCAAAGGCTATCTGGGATTTTCTCAAACAAGAGTATGAAGGAAATGAGAAAGTCAAAGGGATGCATGTGCTGAATTTGATCAGGGAGTTTGAGATGCAACGGATGAAGGAGTCAAAAAAGGTGAAAGAATATTCTGATAGACTTCTAAGCATTGTAAACAAGGTGAGGTTGCTTGGGACAAAATTTTCCGATACAAGGATAGTGCAGAAAATCCTTGTGACTCTTCCTGAGAGGTTTGAATCCACCATTTCCTCTTTGGAAAATTCCAAGGATCTGTCAAATATCACTTTGGCAGAATTGATGTATGCTTTGCAAGCCCAAGAACAGAGGAGACTCGTGAGGGAGGAAGGCGTGATTAAAGGTGCTTTACAGGCGAAACTGAAACTCAGTCATGGTTACAAAGGAAAGAAAAAGGAGGCTCAAGGGAACAACTTTGAGCAAGGAGAAAGTTCCAACAAAGGTGGTAAAGGAGATGATGAGAAACCAAATCATCCTCCTTGTCAGCACTGTGGAAAAAGAAACCATCCCCACTTCATATGTTGGAGAAGACCCGACATACGCTGTTACAAATGCAACCAGCTTGGTCGCATTGCAAAATTTTGCAATAACAAAAGGCAATCTCAAACAGAGGCTCAAGTGGCTCCACCTTTGTTGGAACTTTCTCCTTGCTCAAAGTTGTTCCCTTGAGCCTCCTTTTTCTTTCCTTTGTAACCATGACTGAGTTTCAGTTTCGCCTGTAAAGCACCTTTAATCACGCCTTCCTCCCTCACGAGTCTCCTCTGTTCTTGGGCTTGCAAAGCATACATCAATTCTGCCAAAGTGATATTTGACAGATCCTTGGAATTTTCCAAAGAGGAAATGGTGGATTCAAACCTCTCAGGAAGAGTCACAAGGATTTTCTGCACTATCCTTGTATCGGAAAATTTTGTCCCAAGCAACCTCACCTTGTTTACAATGCTTAGAAGTCTATCAGAATATTCTTTCACCTTTTTTGACTCCTTCATCCGTTGCATCTCAAACTCCCTGATCAAATTCAGCACATGCATCCCTTTGACTTTCTCATTTCCTTCATACTCTTGTTTGAGAAAATCCCAGATAGCCTTTGCTGACTTTAGAGTCACAATTCTGGTGAAGATTGATTGAGAAACAGCAGAAAATAGACAAGACTTTACCTTTGATTTTCGCTGCTTTCTTTCCTTATGATACTTGATTTGATTAAGTGTTGGATTTTCTACAAGAAAAACGTAAATTTCCGACGGAAAATTTCTGACAGAAATATAAATCCGTCGGAAATTTTCGATAGAAACTTTCCGACGGAAAAATAATTCCGTCAAAAATTTCTAACGAAAAATTTCCGACGGAATATTATTTAATTTATTATTTATTTTTATTATAATAGATAAATTTACTTATGAATCAACAATGGATAAATAAGTCCATTTGCTACTTTTAGATTTAGTGTTTCAACCTTGATATATCAGTAATAATGATAATAGGTGTAAATTAAACTGTCAGCTTATACATGTAATTTTCATATATTGAATTATTCAGTTCTTCCTTTTTCTTTTCATTGGATTGGATTAAGGATATTAATATTCCACACCCTTTTTCTATCAAATGTGGATTTCATTAATTAATTTGTAATATATATATATATATAATTTATATTTTCAAGTGGAAGGAAAACCGAAATTATAAGTATACAATATTAGGTTCAGAAATAGTATGCACAAGTATAAAAAAAATCATTAATTTTTTTTTGTCTATTTTAATATATATTAAGAATTTTGTCTTTCTGGCTAATTATATTAAGAAAATATTATTCTGTAAATGAAAATTTCAGACCAGCAATGTATTGGAGAAAAGCTCCCTTGTGATGTTAATTACATCCCTGCATATTTTAAATGCAAGATGAGTTAACTAAAAAAAAATCTCGAATATTGCATTTAATTAAATCTAGTGTGCAGCATATAAAACTTTATATAATCTTAATTATATAACATCCTATATTTTACATTTATCATATGTGTCTCTTTTTTATTATATCTTAAGATTAAATACATCTTCTTGAGTGTAATTTTTCTTTTTCCAATTTGAACTTTGTCAGTTGACATTTACGAAGTTATCAATCCGGCCCAGAACGGTTAATGTATGCGTATAATATTAAGATAGATACATTTTTATTTTATTTAACATAAGCAGCTGAGAGCGATTCATCATACCTAAAAAAAAATTAATTAATGAAGTTGTTTCAATCGATCTAAATTAACATTATTATGGGTAACCACATCCATGGTATAACTTTAGTATAATTAACTGGCCCGTATTTCTTCTTTATCCAGATTAAACACCTATATAAGCTATTAGTTCATAGCCAAAACTATCATTGCTAAAAGCTCCGAAATAATTATGGATCCTCACTTTGTTTTCCCGCTTCCATTCATGTTCCTAATTACTCTTTCACTTTTAATGGCTCCCCATGCCAATGCTGAAAGCTCTACATACATAGTTCACATGGACAAGTCCCTCATGCCTCAAGTTTTTGCAAGCCATCATGATTGGTACGAGTCCACAATCCAATCCTTAAACTTGGCAACAGTTGATCACCCCTCCAAGCAACATTCACAAAAATTATTGTACACCTATGATGATGCCATGCATGGATTCAGTGCAGTGCTATCTTCAGACGAGTTGCAGTCTCTAAAGAAAGTCCATGGTTTTGTCACAGCTTATCCTGACAGGTCTGCCACCATAGACACCACTCACACCTTTGAATTTCTCTCTCTGGATTCCCCCAATGGCTTGTGGAATGCTTCAAATTTTGGGGACGGTGTCATTGTGGGTCTTATCGACAGTGGAATATGGCCTGAAAGTGAGAGCTTCAAAGATGATGGCATGAGCAAGGAAATCCCATCCAAATGGAAAGGAACATGTGAAGCAGGACAAGACTTTAATGCCTCCATGTGTAACTTCAAGTTGATTGGAGCTAGATACTTCAACAAGGGTGTGAAAGCAGCAAATCCCGAAGTCCCAATTAGCATGAACTCCGCAAGAGACACTTTGGGACATGGGAGCCACACATCATCCACTGTTGCTGGAAACTATGTTGAAGGTGCCTCTTTCTTTGGCTACGCCAAAGGGGTAGCTAGAGGCATTGCACCACGAGCTAGGCTTGCCATGTATAAGGTCCTTTGGGATGAAGGGCGTCAAGCCTCTGATGTTCTTGCTGGAATGGACCAAGCCATTGCTGATGGGGTTGATGTCATTTCCATCTCTTTAGGTTTTGATAGTGTTCCACTTTATGAGGACCCTGTAGCAATAGCATCTTTTGCAGCAATGGAAAAAGGGGTGTTGGTTTCATCTTCAGCAGGCAATGAAGGTCCCAAACTTGGCACCTTGCACAACGGAATTCCCTGGCTCCTAACTGTGGCAGCAGGTACAATAGATCGTACATTTGGTAGCTTGATACTAGGAAATGGTAAAACCATCGTGGGGTGGACCTTGTTTGCGGCAAATTCAATAGTGGAAAATTTTCCACTTGTTTACAACAAGACTCTATCAGCATGCAACTCGGTCAAATTGTTATCCGGAGCAGCCACAAGAGGGATCATTATATGTGATGCCTTGGACTCAGTTTCTGTCTTTGACCAAATAAATTTTATTACCCAAGCTAGTGTGGTAGGAGCTGTGTTTATCTCTGAGGATCCAGAACTAATTGAAACAGGACGTTTGTTCTCTCCAAGCATTGTAATCACCCCAAGGGATGCACCATTTGTAATCAAGTATGCAAAAAGTGTTCAAGCATCCAGTGCCAGCATCAAATTTCAACAAACATTTGTGGGAATAAAGCCAGCACCAGCTGCTGCATATTACACTTCAAGAGGTCCTTCACCAAGCTACTCGGGAATCTTGAAGCCTGATGTAATGGCACCTGGCTCCAATGTTCTTGCTGCCTTTGTTCCAAATAAGCCTTCAGCTAGAATTGGCACAAATGTGTTTTTATCTAGTGACTACAATATCTTGTCTGGAACATCCATGGCATGTCCTCATGCATCTGGTGTTGCTGCTCTTTTGAAAGCTGCACATCCTGATTGGAGTGCAGCTGCTATAAGATCTGCACTAGTAACCACTGCCAATCCCCTTGATAATACCCAAAGTCCAATCAGAGACAATGGAAACCCCTTGCGATATGCTTCCCCTCTTGCCATGGGAGCTGGTGAGATTGATCCTAACAGAGCCCTTGATCCTGGTTTCATATATGATGCCACCCCTCAAGACTATGTTAACCTTCTTTGCACTTTAGGCTACACACACAACCAAATATTGACTATCACAAGATCAAACTCCTATAAATGTGCTGCTAACCCTTCATCTGATCTTAACTACCCCTCGTTTATAGTTTTGTATAGTAACAAAACAAGATCAATAGTCCAAGAGTTTAGGAGGACTGTGACCAATGTTGGAGATGGTGCTGCTACATATAGAGTCAAGGTGACACAACCCAAGGGCTCTATAGTTACTGTGTCACCTAAGACACTAGCATTTGGTTATAAGCACGAGAAGCAGAGCTACTCTATTATTATAAAGTACAAGAGGAACGAGAAGGAAACGATCTCATTTGGAGACATCATTTGGGTTGAAGATGGTGGTGCACGCACTGTTAGGAGTCCCATTGTAGTGGCTCCCAATGAAATTGCATGAGTTGAAGTTTGATTAATTGGTTTTTCTTCTTTTAATGCCCCTGCCATCCTCTCTTTAAAACTCCCCCAACCAAAATAATAACCCTCGCTCGTAATATATAATGTGATATATAAAGATAAATTTCGCTGCATGAAAGGTTAGGTCCCTTATTTGAGGGAGGATTGTTAGGATATAAATAAGTCTCAAATTGATAAAATAAGAGAAAAAATAACAACTTATAGAATACACACATAGTCCAATGTTAGAGAGACCTTTTCGACAATGACCAAAAGCAAAACCGTGGAATATATTTGTGTAATAACCTTATAAAAATAACTCTAATAAAATATTCCCTCGGATAAATACCAATAAAATAATTCCCAACAATGGTATCAGAGTTGCCTGGTTGGATGCGGTAACAACTCTCATAACTCAAGATAGATTCCGCTCCATGAAAGGTTAGGTCCCTTGTTTGAGGGGATGATTGTTGGGATACAAACAAGTCTCACATCTTATAAAATAAACGAAAAAATAATAACTTATAAAGCACACACATACTTCAATGTTAGAGAGACCTTTTGGGTAATGACTAAAAGTAAAATCGTGAGAGCTTAGACCCAAAGCGGACAATATCTCATCATTGTAGAGTATGCTTGTGAAATAACCCTTATAAAATATTCCCTTAGACAAATACCATAAAAATAACCCCAACAAATAAATAACAAATAAAGATACTAGTTTGTAATTTCATATCCCTCCAATACTATAGTTTAGGCCAGCCAATCTCAAAAGATAGACCATATATTATATAACTATTGTGTAATGTTGATTGAAAAGGATTTTGAGAAAGTTTTAGAATAACAAAAACTTTGGTATTGATGAATTAATTTGGTTGATTTTATGCATCAAACATGTATTTTGCTAACTACTCTTCTTTTCTTTGCTTATTTAAAAGCAATGAAGTAGTTGTCGCATCTTGGATCAAATTTTTGTGTACATAATCTATGAATATGCTCACATTGCTATACTACAAACAGTCACACAAGATCTTTTTACGATAAAAAGAAACTTTTTATATGCATTAATGTTATCTTTATTTTTAAATGAAAATATAAAAATTATGACGTGTAGTTAATCTTTTTAATTAGTATATAAGTAAACAGTAACTAAGGTGAAGTCCAATATAAATGACAGACATGCAGGACAATCATTTTGATCAACCTATAATAGAATGCAAATGACAGGTTGTATATGTTGGAATTTAGAAAAAAATAGAAGGTTGAAACTCATGTAATTTTATTCATCCTTGCAACCTTTTAAATACACAAAACACACTGATATAAATTTTGCTCATAAACATAAAATTAAATGACAAATGTTAATACTCATAAAAGTGTAACAGCACCTATAATTCTTATAATTAAAATTCATAACCGTAGGAATTCTAATAATGCTCCATTAATATGAAATAAACTCAAAAAATAGATGTTGATTCATATTCTCAACACTCCTCCTTGAATCAGTAGCTATTGACTCCAAGTTTCCCTCTCAAGTTCTCAAACTTTCCTCTTGGAAGTGTCTTTGTGAAGATGTCTTCCAATTGATCTTCTGTCTTGCAATATACTAACACAACATTTCCTTCTTTTTTTTTTTTTAAATCTCTAACAGAATACAACTTAACATTGAAGTGTTTAGTCTTCCCATAAAAAATTGAATTTTTAGAAATTGCAATTCCTTTCTTCACAATTCTCTTAACAATTTTCTTTTTCTTGACAACCCTCGGAGCCGATTTTCCTGAAGAAACATTGCCAGCTTTAACTGAATTCAGCACCTTATTTTTCCCGCTAGAATCATCAACCTCCCTGGCAAAAGGCCGGGAAGAACTACCATCAACAGTCTTCTGCACACTCACCTCCTTCTTTCTTGAAATAGAACTATCATTCTCCTTGAAAGGCGACCTATTCAAATCCACAATAACTGAAGACCCCCTAACCGGTTGCAAACCAGAATAATCATCATCCAAAACCCTTTTACTCATTTCCCCATAACTGAAATATGAATCCAAAATCGGAGTCACATTCAAATTAGGAACAGAAACCGAACTCAAGGGAGGTGGCGGCAGTGGAGCCACAATTGCCTTCGCTACAAGCGAATTGGACTCAAAGGAAATATCAATCTCAACAGGACTCCCCTGTCTCTTATCTCTCTCCTTCATTAAATCTAAAGAGAAGCTTTTTCCCTTCATTTTGACCTTGAACAGATCATGTCCACTTGCATCTTTGATCAAACACATTTTGTCTTCAAACAAAATTTTATAGCCTTTTTCAAGCAACTGTCCAACACTTAACAAGTTTTGATTAATTTCAGGCACAAAAAGTACATCAGTGATTATTTTTGTACCTGAACAACTTTCAATTGCAATAATGCCCTTCCCTTTCACAGCTATGCACTCTCCATTGCCAATTCTGACTTTTGAAACAATTGTCTTATCCAGCTCCTTGAACAATTTTTCATCATAGGTCATATGATGTGTGCATCCACTGTCAATCAGCCAGCTCTCACAATTGTTATTGGTAGCAAAACAAGTTGCTGCAAATAATTGTTCCTCCTCCTCTTGTTGGTCAGCCACTTGAGCCTCTGTTTGAGATTGTCTTTTGTTATTGCAAAATTTTGTAATATGACCAAGCTGGTTGCATTTGTTACACCGTACGTTGGGTCTTCTCCAACATCTGAAGTGGGGATGGTTTCTTTTTCCACAATGCTGACAAGGAGAATGATTTGGTTTATCATCATCTCCTTTTCCACCTTTGTTGGAACTTTCTCCTTGCTCAAAGTTGTTCCCTTGAGCCTCCTTTTTCTTTCCTTTGTAACCATGACTGAGTTTCAGTTTCGCCTGTAAAGCACCTTTAATCACGCCTTCCTCCCTCACGAGTCTCCTCTGTTCTTGGGCTTGCAAAGCATACATCAATTCTGCCAAAGTGATATTTGACAGATCCTTGGAATTTTCCAAAGAGGAAATGGTGGATTCAAACCTCTCAGGAAGAGTCACAAGGATTTTCTGCACTATCCTTGTATCGGAAAATTTTGTCCCAAGCAACCTCACCTTGTTTACAATGCTTAGAAGTCTATCAGAATATTCTTTCACCTTTTTTGACTCCTTCATCCGTTGCATCTCAAACTCCCTGATCAAATTCAGCACATGCATCCCTTTGACTTTCTCATTTCCTTCATACTCTTGTTTGAGAAAATCCCAGATAGCCTTTGCTGACTTTAGAGTCACAATTCTGGTGAAGATTGATTGAGAAACAGCAGAAAATAGACAAGACTTTACCTTTGATTTTCGCTGCTTTCTTTCCTTATGATACTTGATTTGATTAAGTGTTGGATTTTCTACAAGAAAAACGTAAATTTCCGACGGAAAATTTCTGACAGAAATATAAATCCGTCGGAAATTTTCGATAGAAACTTTCCGACGGAAAAATAATTCCGTCAAAAATTTCTAACGAAAAATTTCCGACGGAATATTCTGTCGCAAATTTTCGACGGATTTATTTCGTCGGAAATTTCTGACGGAATTTTCCTTCGAAAATCTTATTTTTAAAAAATTTGAAAACTATTTAATATTTCGTTTCAGTAATTTATTTTAATGTATAAAATACATTTATGATTATCTGTCAATTTGAATTAATGAAATGAAGTATTAAATGATTTTCAAAATTTATAAAAACTTGCAGACTTGATCTATGCATTAAAAACTTTAAATTAAACATTAAAATTTAATGTAAAACATGAATTATTGAATAAAATAAGTTTAGATAGATTTACTTTTTGAATAAATAGATCCATCCTCTCATATATATATATATATATAGAATAATTAAATATATTATTATTATTATTATTATTATTATTATTATTCGTAATATAAAATTATTATATATTATTATTATAGTACAAATATAAGATTGTATATTTGAGGATGACTTAAATGAATTAATTTGTACAAGTTATACTGACAACACACATAGACATTTCGGTAGCTTACTCATCAGAACTTCACAGTTAAGCGTGCTTGACCTGGAGTAGTACTGGGATGGGTGACCTTCTGGGAAGTCTCCCAGAAATTGCACAAGTAAGGATAAAACATGCTAAACAGTGAAATATTGTGAAATAGAACCCTTGACAGGCTAAATATGAGAGTTGTTACATTAATAAATTTATTAAAATTAAAAAAAAAAATTAAAATTTCCGACGCATTTTTCCGTCGGAAATTTTGACAGCAATTTCCGACGGATTTTTCCGTCGGAAATTTCCAACGAAATTTTTCGACGGATTTTTCCGTCGGAAAATTATTTCCGACGGATTTTTTAACTTTCAACATAGTCTCCTTTTACTGGATAGAGTGATCAGATATACAACTTTAAACCTTATTTAACTCTTGATTTCCTCATTATTGTTGTCTCATTCAAGAGTTGCGACAATTTCCAAATCCTTTCCTTCTCTTCCACTAACAAACTTAAACCCCCCTTAATATACACCACCAAGTTTCACGCATTCAATTTGACCTTTGATTCATCGAACATAACAACCAATATATAGTTAGGATAGTTTGAATTTGATGTCCACACACGTCACATATGTTTTAATCATGATGAAATTTTGATAGATTTACTTCATTCATTAACTTATGTTCTACATTAAATTTTATGATCTAACAGTTAAATTAAAAATTCATAATGTAAGATAAGTCCACAAAATTTTTAAAAATTTGAAAACTATATGATAATTCTTTATATAAATTCAATTCAACGTATTAAATAATTTTATGATTATCTATCAATTTAAATTAATAAAAAAAATATCTATTAGTTTTTAAAAAAATTTGATTTAATGGTTAGATCGTTGAAATTTGATATGCAATATGAATTATATGAAAAGGAATTTACTTATTCCAAGTCTTGCTAGACTTCCTTTATTCAATAATTGATGTTCTACATCAAATTTGAATAATCTAATCGTTA